TGATAACAAGGGCGCCAAGTAGTTTCTTGTGCACCGACTAGCCTAAACCTGAAATGAAACTACTAAACAATCCAGATATGCGAAAACAATAAGGTGGAATACGACAAAGGAACAAGAATAAAAACGTTGAATGTTGCTTCCCCAAAATACGCCTGTTCAACGGATTTATTCTTCACTTATACTACAAACTAAACGCTTATACAAAGGCGAAGACAAAACTATTCGGAAACACCTATTCAGCGAGGTTCATTGCTTTCGTAAACAATAATGTCAGGATCCCGCAAAAACAACACCATTAATAAAACTTCTAATCGGTACTTATCTAGCTGCTAGTGATGTGTAGATTCCTATGGCCCGCTACTACGCAAATTCGTGAAAAGCTCTTAATTCTACGTCCACACGGTCGAAATAGGAACACCACCATCCATATGACTTCGGAAAATTTGTTGTTTAGTCGCTACGTACAAGGCAATAAAGTTCAAAAAGGTCTGACCCCATCCACTTCGACGTGTTCTCAAAGGTAGCACCGTCCGGGCGAAATTTTGATTTACCATATCAGAGAAAAACATCTCCCAATGCTTGACTGCCCTAACATTGCCGGAGATGTTTTTAAACGGTCCGGAAGAAATAATTCATTTGATAAAATTCATCCCAATCGATTGCAAGATCGCTCCACAGCAGAATTACCCAATCACAATAAGGCACGGCAGGTTTATATCCGTCAAAAGACGTAATTCCATATTTAAAAAACAGAATTTGCCTGAAATCAAATCTTCCGAACGTTATCATTCAGTTTCACTCACGAATGCCCCAGAGCGGACGGACAAAAAAAAACGTTCTTTTTTTTTCCTTTCAACAAAAAAACTTATCGAGTCGGCTGGAACTATATATCGGGTGTTTCACAAATAGACTTATTCTAATTTAATAATTAGGGTTCAACTATTTACAACTAATCGTAAAAAGGGATATCCCTAGAAATCTTATCTTTCAACAAGTGCTCTAATGGTCCAAACGGTATTGACCTTGAACCTCAATTCTCAAGATCAACTACTTTAAAAGAACTCAAAAGGAGCAGAAAATTTTACATTCAAATATGTATTCAAGTCCAGGGTTGATGACCCTCGATTCTTCTTTTTTTGAAAAACAGGAAAATGGCTTGGACATAGAAGGACTTTTCGTTAACCCTTTTTTAACCTTTTCAATTCCAGTATCAAAAGTGGGACTTTCCATGTCAAAAACTTGAGTTGATCTTTGAATGGTCTTGAAAATATCGCTATCCTTACGAAATTTGTAGGGGTTTCAATATTAAGAAAAGTAATTTCAAGCTTTACTGAAATATACAGGGTGTCTCATAAAAAATAGTTTTCCATCAATAACTATTGTAACGAAGTTACTAATTTCCCAGTCAGGTAGAAACAGCTTTTTTATTTTGTGTTTATAGTATTGCTCCGTTATTTAGTTGACCCTGACTGAATGAATACCTTCCTAGGTCAAAGTGCCACTCTATCGTGATAGAAATCCCAGGTCGTCAATGCGATTTGCCACTCTATAGCGATAATAGGAAACTGTACTATGCCAGGTCGCCAATGAGATTTGAAAATCATACGTTATTTGTTATTATACCGTACCACCGATGGAGGGCATAACTCTCCCATCACCGGATACTGCGTAGAACTTTATTTCAAATAATTTCGAGAGTATCCGTTCGAGTTCCAGTATATAAAGACAAACCGGTAGACAAAAAAGTAAGTGGATAACAGAAAGAAAAGCGTGAGATATAAAGTAGTGGTTCTCAGTTCGTTTGATATTTCTACAAATAATTGTCCGTTTTGTAAAGGCCGTGTGAAGAACACCCTTGACATAATATACCAAGTGAACAATTATATTCTATGTATTGATTATTTTATTTTGAAGAAGGCCGTGTGATGAACACCCCTCAAGTTGATACCACCGTATATGGCTAGTTACTATTTGTTTTGGAACTGAGAATCACGAATCCTCATATAAGAGCTTTGAATGAGCTTAGCACTTGTGCTTGCGCATCGTTTGCCGTAGTTTTTTAACCGTCTGTCGATGCTTGACATGATGAATGCGTAACCTTTTTCTGCTTTCTTCCACTTGTAAAAATAGTAATAGATTGATTTTTCTTGATACCTGTATAACCCATATTGATGTGTTGAAATAAATTTAATAACATTCGATCTATTTGTTTCATTTTACTTCTAACTAAAAGCAGCAGGTACCCAGGATTGAAACCCAGAATGGCAATTAAAGCCTGCCGTACTGGCTACAGTTGATTTAGTCAATATGTTAGTGACCGCTGGTGATATCTTATTTAAAAAAATAAGTTATTTACATCATAGAATTCTACGTAAAAAGTGCTTTGGAAATATTTTCATTGAAGCAAGAAATTTTTTACAGGAAAAAGTTACAGCACATTTTCGAAAAAACTTAGAAACAATGATGGACATCAATATGCGGTTTTCTCCATAAGTTTGTCATGAAATTTGACCCTCAGACACAGCTATCAGTTTTCATTTATCTAGTTTGATCAATTAATCAATCCATCAATCAAACATTTATTGAATCAGTTTTCCTTCATAATTACATTAGACAAAAAAAAACATAACATCATCATAATATAAAACATACATAAAAAAAAGTTAATAAGCTACAATCAAATTAGGATTCAAGAAGAAACTCATCCACAGAGTAGTATGCTTTTTGCAATAGAAAAATTTTGAGTCGCTTTTTAAAAACATTGATATTTGAGAATTCAATGACCTCACTAAGCTTATTATATAGCTTAACCCCAAAGCACACGGGGTGATTCTTTGATACTGTCAATCTACTATGAGGTTGATGTAGTTGAGAGTTATTTCTGGTAAAATGTTCATGGATTTGCTCATTTCTAGGAATAATTGAAATATTGTTTTTTATTGCAAATAAACTATAACGAATGAATAATGACCTGCAGTGTTCACTTGAAGATGCACCAGCCAGAATTTAGATTACCTTTTTCTGAATAACAAAAACTTCCATCAGCTTTGGCTGATAAGCCCCACTGTTCAAGACCATAGGAAGGGGTTGGCCTGAACCACTCAAAAGCACAAGGCATAATTTGTCAATAGGGCCTGATGTCATGACATATCATATTGGTAGAAGCCTTGGTGATCGGTAGTTCCTTGCTTACGAAGTCCTCAAACTCGTTTAGTCAAGTTAGGGGGATAAAAATTGGGTGGAGTATTCATTTACTTCATACACCCAAGTGCCCTAATTTTGTTCTCAGTTCCTTAAAACTAATCAGAAACAACCCTTAGTTGTAGGGGAATGGCATGGTGTAAACGCTTGGGTGGATCAGTTCCATGGACAATGCAAAGGATGCAAAAGCGTTACAACACCAGAAGAAATAAAAACTTATATTAGTCATACTCAAGATTGTCAGTTGGAAAAAACTCTCATTTGTATAAAAGCATTCAATGCTACAATCACTTTACTGCTATTCTCATCAAATATTAATGTTTTAAAAAATACTCTGAACAGATATTTGCAGGAAAAAGTATTTCATTCGATGCAGGAGTTTTTAGAAAACCCAGATTAAAATATTGTTTTTACTCTTAATTTTTGTATTGTATATGCTATTTGTAAGTAATGTTGTTGACTGATCCAATAAGTTTTGCTATCTGTTGCAAACATTAACATGAAAGGTTAAAAAAATCGGAACTTGGCTAAATGTAGATAATTTCTAGACTCTGATTCAATAGTAGCGAGAAGGAGGAAATAATGTAAACGCCTGTGTCACAGCAATTAATTCGGTCCCGGAAAAGTGAAACAAACTATTTTGGACACAGACTATCGTTCCTTTTTTATCAATCTCGATACCGATACCGTGCAGTACTGACTAATATCAAAAAATGTACCTGAAGTAAATATGTAAAGGCAGCGTTGTCACGTAGATTTCGAATTTCCTTGAAATATACAATAAGTAACATGATTTGTATTCCATTTTCTAATAACTTCAGAGGTGGGGTGTAACAAGACTGCGGGAGTTGTCAGCAAAAATCCATCCCATTTTTATCCCCTCAAATTGACTGGACGAGTTTGGGGACTTTTTGTAAGCGAGACACAAATTCAATTTTTTTTTTAATATTCAAATTTTTATTTGGTTCATAACAACCTATTATCAAGGTTCAAGGTTACAAATTTGATCATTCAAGCATATTACACTCCGGAAATATGCTCCTTGATATAAGTTTTGCTTTAGTTTTTTTCAAATTTGTATTGTTTTGGTGGGATGAAGCGGTACATTGAATTCAATACTTGATAATATTTCTGGAGTCTCTCAGACCTTTTACAGATTTGAATAGAGCTATCTCATCAAACTGTTTTGACTCATTGCTAAAAGAAATTCTAGCCTTGCAGATCACCCATTACTGAGAGAGTTCACAGGTTCTTGAACTATTCATTTCGCTTGTTGTTTTCGATTAATTCACTCAGCAGCTTGAGTTTGTGGGAAATAAAGTTATTATTCTTGTTAAAAAAGAAATGATAGACAACGAGCCGGGCCTCTACCCCAAAGACGGCATCCCGGAGATCAAGTGGCTGTCCAATGACCCTGTTCGAATAGTCGAAGACCATTTCAACCCCCCCTCCGACAAGGTGGACGTTCTGAAGGCCCCGAGTAGTTTTCCCCACGCCGTGGTTCGATACACGTTACGCGACATGTCTATAAGTTGGAACATTTATGGCGGGAACGATTTCGAATCGATCACTAAGGATAACAAAAGCAAAACCAAGAAGAAGAAGAAGACCGTTAATTTTGCCGATAGAACCGGTCACAAAGCGAGTCCAACGAAATCGTCTGATACGGAGATTCATCTGGGGTGTCAGAAGAAGGCTGTTCCTTGGTTGAAGAAGGGCGGCATTAATCGGAGACACGACATTAACGTGGAGTTGTTGTTGGTAGGGGTAAGTAATGAGGGTCACCTTATAAGTTTTTTCATAAAGTAAGAAACACATTTTTTGGAACCAACTGTTCTAGTGTTTTTCAAAGTATTCACTTTTGATATTGATACATTTTTGGAAGCGATAAAATAAATTTTTGAAACAGTTTTTACACTCTGAAGTTGATATCTTGAAAATACGGGTTGGGAAGGCTTTAATAACTTCTCAATATGAAGAAAATCACTATCCATGCCTTTTTTCTTTGACAAAAATAAATAAAAATATCCCACATAGAAATATTATAATCAAAATAGAACGAAATCTAATAGCAGAACATTCATGTTTTTGTATTGTTTTTATTATCCCAAGAAACAATAAATGTTTATGAATAGGATTAACTAAATTAACTTGAGATACAAATTTAACAAAATAATGAGATATTGAACAAGAAAACACAAGTTATTGATACTGTGACAGATTAAAGAATTAACTGTCTTAAACACATATTTCCAACAATATTCTACTAATCACAAACTAATTTATTTATTGCACTTAGCAACTAACGCTTAATTTATTTCCACTATTTGAATTTTTTGTTTAGCCGTTCGATTCACTTTCTGAACTGTCCTCTTAGGTCGGGAAGCCGGGCTTATATCGGTAACGGTCCTTTCTAGAAATCTGTAGTCGGTTCGGTTCTAGAGTTTTACCGGCGATTCACGACTGCATTATTTCGCGGTGATGTCATGTGTTTGTTTGCTGAGTCGGCCGGCATATCGGTCAGGGGCGGCTTCAGATTCGTTACAATATGAACAGTGAACTAAAATATAAAAAAATATGAATAATCTTTATATGGAAAACGAATAAGTAATTTCAAGAGAGTATTATAATAAATTGGCAGAAAATTTTGAATAAAATAGTAGGCAGTCTTAATGAGCAAAACCTTGATCCTTTCAGGAATCATAAAAGAGGTTTGCAAGTTTTTATTGTCCCTAACAGCTCTTCTTGTTTGATTACATGATCCCCAGGGAATGAGATACACATAGTGAGATAAATACATTTCATGCAGTATTTGGTATAGTTCTCTCAAAACCTCTACGTATTTAGGTCTGTGCTTTAAGGACAGCTGATTAGCGGATATGGTAAAAGTGGTCGTTTCTGTTTTATTTTTATATAGCATGAAATTTAATATCAGAATTTTGTGATTGAAGGTGTATTGATGATTGATTTGAAGTAATTGGAAATCTACATATTGAGTCTCATAATGCATTCCTGGTTTGGCCTAGCACCACCGATTATTTAATGGCGAATAGAAACTATATTGTGTCGTGTTCATTCATTTAACGGGCTACCCCAATCAACAAAATATTGAAAACCAAATGCACTTTAAATAACAAAACTAAATTATAAGTAAAGACTGCAGGTACACCAAATTTTTCGTTCTTAATTTTTGACGACTGTATACAATTTTTGAATTGTCACACAAGATAATAAACTCTACTTTACTAGTTGAACCTGAATCAATAGTACACAAGTTTCGACTTCCGAGGGTTGTCGTTCGTAGGGTTGCGACAGCTGGTTAACGGAAAAACATATTTTGAACCGACATATTTTTTCAAACTCCCAATTAGTTCAAATCTAACCTATCTGAATGCACTAGCATTTTTAAATTAATAGTTATTCAAAAGAAGGCAAAATAAACTTTGGGGTCCCTCAAGGTTCAGTTTTTAGTGTACTATTATTTCTTCTTTATATAAATGACCTGACAACTATCGAATTAAGATTCACACGATTTGCCGACGACACTACAATTTTATGGCACAACCGAAATCCCTCTGAACCTGAAACTTCTATAAACTGTGTTTTCATCGATGAATTCCCATTTTTTAACAAATACTTTGTTATTTTGCAACACCATGAGAGCATGGTGGCAAACAGCATGGTAAAACCACGAGTAGTTTTATTTACCATTCTGTTTGCCACCATTAATTGTTGTTATTTAAACATTTTTTTGTGTTCATTTGTGAATACAGCTGTTTGGTAAATTGTCTATCTATTTTCCTAATTTTGAGTACCCTTTGTCTGCGGAAACTCACAGGTTGCAGTGTTGAGAAGCTAGAGGTCTTTACGACCCTCTGTTTGAAAAAAATCTGTTTTTCGATTAACCAGCTGTTGCACCCCGACGAACGACAACCCTCAGAAGTTGAAACTTGTGCGAGCTAAGGATTAACGAGGTCTTACCTTTTAACATGTGATTCCTACAATCTACTATCACTAGTTATCAAGAGGGAATACAATATTAACTAATCTGGTATTTTAATGTTATTTAGTATGAATAATGGTGTGTTACAGATTCGTTTCCAATATGAAATATATCCAGAAACTACTATCCATGCATCAAGGCAAGTTTTGTCGATATCTGACTACTGTATTAAAGATAAACTAGAAAGTAGTAGAATTAATAAATTTCTATATCACGACGTCAATGAACTAAGACCGAAGCAGACTAGGGCTCATATGGTAAGTCTTATTTTTTAATTGTTTTATTCCATTTCATTCTAAGCATGAATGAAGTGTAGAAATTCACATGTTTGTATGTTCGATTTATTATGTGTTTCTATTGAATCAGTTGATGCAGTTATTAGATTACTGAAAAATAAGTGTCTTACTAACTATTATTCTACATATTCAATGCCTATGTTCGTTTCCACATTTGAAAAAATATGTAGTAAGGGGGAGTTATTCAATTCTAATTGATCATTCAGTAAATCACGAGGATTCTTGAATCTATTGATTTCTAAACATTCTAGAACATCGAGTTTCAAACTCTTCTCTTCTAAATGTAACACGTATTCATGATTTTTATTATGTTTATTAATTTTCATCAATTTTTGAGTATTACACTATAATTTAAAATGAAAGAAATGGTTGAAGATTGGCTTTAAATTTGTAGATCGTCATCAAAGCAATCTACATTAGACCTGATACAAGGATAAACAGGCAGGAATTAAGCCTGGTAGTATCGATGTTGCCACTGAGATTTAACATCGATCAAGACACTGCAAGATTTTTAATGCAATTCTTCAGTGAACTTGGTAGCGGCAGTTTGAATGATAATGGTGAGTATTCGTGTATTTTTTATTCTTTTCTTTCTCATTGTTATTGATATATCTTTTAGAAGAAGATAACTACTCACAGCAGAGTACTCCTACACATCCCCCACCAGTCTTGACGATTCCTAGAGAGGGAGACAATACTCCTAAAATCACCAATGAAAATCTTATCATGTTCAATAGTATACAGCAGGATGACTTAGAAAGTACATGCTCTTCTGTACCAAGCAGTCTTCCTGACAACTCCCCAATTTATGTGAGGTAAGAAAATACACTTTCTTATTTACAGTGTGTTCCTTTTTGCATCAGATGAATTCGACCAATTAATCATAGAGCTCTCAAAATACATTACCAATTCTTTTATGATGAAACTAATGACAATTTTTTAGTGACAAATTGTTATTAATGTCTCATAATAAAACATGTTTTTATGCCACAATATCTCTAAAAGTTACAAATTTAAACGTTTTTTTCTTCATTTATATAACCTCAACTTGCTCCCACTACTTGTTGACAAATGACAGCTAACAGGAACTCATTAGATTTATCGGTTCTGGTTTCAATGTAATTGATGGAATTTATCAATGTTCATCGATCACAAAAGAGGCGGTTTGATGAAGTCGAATGGTTAAACGCGTGAATAAAGGAAGATAACATGTCGAGGGGTTGGAAATTGAAACAAGTCTGAAGACTGTATCGAGGAGAGATACGTATGTATAAAAAAATAAATTTTTCGAAATGAAATCTCAAAACATTCATCTTTTCCTAAGCACCTACACATTAGGTTCTGGTAAATGTATGCTGGAATACTGTTTTTCTGGCTAATACCACGCTGAACATTGAATTGAATGCCACAGACATATACCTCACAGAGGTTAGTCTTGCAGATATTTCTTCTTCATCCAGCAGCTGGACCACAAGAAATTGGCCTGTAGATCATCTACAGACCAATTTTGAAGTATTACCTCTCAACAGTGCAGTAAAGATCCGACCCAAACAGCAGTGTGATTGGGAGTCGATTGACTTCAATGTGGCTTAAGAGTTTCTACAGATTCAAGTCTTTTGTAATACATGAATAAATAATCACTCTCATAAATGATAAACTGTAACCATTTCATATTCATATCTATCCCTGAAAACATTATACGAAGCCAGGCAATTTTAACTTTGCCGACTGCGTTTACGGCTCTAATTTGTATCAAAAGTACAAAAAATTGAAAACTCCTGCCTATACAGGGTCTTTCACGACGAGTGTTCGTTAGGAATATATGGAGAACGATTTAAAATAAAAACTTTAAATTTTGTGGTAGTGGTTTTTACAAAATGGCCTTCTCAACTAAAATATTGTCAACTTCCGGTCTCTTTCCGTTATACCGGAAGTTGAGGACAACTTCCGTATTTCAAATGGAACACCCTGTATTTTATTACATTTTTGAATTTCTCAGTACATTTTAGGCCAACTTTGTATAACAATGCCTATACCCAAATTTGTTAGTTTTCGAGATATTAATTTTTTTCTGAAAAATTTGACAGTTACACCACCACTCCGAAAAAATCATAACTCATTGACAGTAACAGTTGAAAATGTGAAATTTCACAGAATCACACCTTAAGCATCAAGTCATGAACAGGTCCATGGAATTTTCGAAAATAATTTACAGGGTGGTCGAAATCTCCACTTAAAATATAACATCAAGAAAACTGATGAAACACGATTTTTTCAAATTATGGAAACCATACACTATTCTATTATTTTTGAATACTACGAGAAAAAGATATCAAATTCATGAAGAATGTCCTATACCTAAAATACACCCTTGGAAAGATATATCCGATTTTGGGAAATATTTGAAATGTAAATCACTTTTTATTATTTTATCTCCATATATTCCTAACGAACGCTCGTCGTGAAAGCCCCTGTATGTGGTGTTCATAGACGTGAAAGAATTTCAAATAAACTAATTACTGCAGGATCGTTGAATATGGAGAAGATAACACTTTTTCAAGCTACTTATTTGTGACACAAAATTATAAATACCAAAAAATCCTTCTATTTGTATCTTAAATAACATTACGCTCTGATTCAGATGTACACTACGCCACCAAAGTTTGAACCTGATTTTTTCAAACGTTGTTTTTCACATCAAGTATGAACCATATACAACTCTTTACCTCTGGAAGAATTTCTATCGTTAACAAAATTCAAATTGAAATACAAAAATATTTTTTTGGCGAACCTTAATTTTTTTTCTTTTTTCGTAGTTTCGTAGTTGGTAAAATTTTCTCTTATGATGTTCAAAAACTTTCAATTAGTTTTCATCTGAACTCCTGTAAAATAAAATTATTAATCATCACATAGTTAAAGGTCATATATAAAAAATAGAACACAATAAAGTCACATTCTGCTTCTGTTACAATAGGAGTTCCGCAGGGTTCAACCCTGGCTCCAATTCTTTTTATACTCTTCATGAGTGATATAGAAAATTCAAATATGTCACGAAACGAGTTATCTTTTTCCATAAAAGCAGCAAATGCGGTATCACATGAATTCTCCAAACAGGTGTAAAAATAATGGGTTAACAGTCAATGCCACCAAAACGGTATTTATGATTTTCCAGCAGAAAAACATTTCCTATGATTTTTGTCCTTTTATAAAAATGGATAGCAAGTCCATTGAGCATGTAAGTCACTTCAAATATTTAGAGTAGAGTAGAGTGGAGTTTATTCTCTTGTGTGACAATTAAAAAAATTGTATACAGTCGTCAAAAAAATAGTAAAAGGAAAATTTTGTACTTGCAGAAACAAATTTTAAGCTATTTAAAATGTAAAATAAAGTTATATATATATACAAAAATAACCTATGTAAAATAGTAGAAGAACTTAGTTATAATACATTACTGTTAATGTATTATATTGTATTACATTAAAGAACTGTATGAACTCTTCACTTTTATAAAAGACATTTTCTTTAAGAAAACTTTTTACCCTTTTAGCAAATTTAACTAAGACTAGTTCCTTCCACTCGTTTGGTATCATATTGTAATATTTAATAGACAGAAATCTGAAAGAGTTGAGATTCTTGGATAAGCGAAAATACGGCACTATAACGGATTTATATCTGGTATTATATTTATTTTGAACAGTATAACTGGAAATGTTTTTCTTGGCAAAAAGTAAGCATTCATAAATGAATTGATTAGTCACAGTCAATATACCTAGTTTTTTGAATAGTGGACGACAACTTTCATCAAGTTTTGAATTTGTTATTACTCTTATTGCCCTTTTTTGCATTATGAGAATTTTATCANAAAGAATGCATTTTATTCTGTGCAAGAATTTTTAATATTTTAATATAAGTCAATAAGATTCTTTTCTTTTATTTTTGTAACACACATGTATGTATCTGTTTATATTTTATATATAGCCTAGTGTTCACGTATGACTAGTCTGATAAAATTTTATAAGTGTTATGTAATGCAATGCAATTTTAAAATTTTTAATGACGAATAAATTCTATTCTATTCTATCCATCAGGCATTAAGTAGAAATTAGGCAGTATGAAAACCCTTGAGAAAGTTATTGTATAGCGAAGCACGTGCTGCGGATTTGTAAACAATCCAGTAAAAATCTCATAATAAAGTACTTCTTGAGCACTTACTGAGTCCATGTTTGAAAAAAAGTGGTTTTTCTTTTGAAAAATTTGTTGTAACTATACTTTCATAAGCATTTTCTGACTTGTAAATCCTTTTCCATATTGAAAACTGCACTTATTTTTTATTGTGTATTTTGTTTCAGAAACTTTGTGTTTAGCCCGGCAGTTCCAATCAAAATCGATTTTAGCGGAAAAGTTAGCTTTAACTACGGTTTAAGTGAATTTCTGATGGGACTAGCTGAGCTCAATAGCGTAGAACTAACTTTGAAGCGGTTGTCATGCCGTGATGGACTGGTAGGCATTGATAAAGTAATTGAATATGCTGTCCAAGAATTTTCGAATGACATCAAGAAGAGGCAGTTTCCCAATTTGTTCAAAGGAGTTGGCCCTATAAATTCTCTCGTAAAATTATGTGAGAAACCGGATTTTTTCTGGCTAACCATCTGATTTACTAGCGTTTTTTTATTCAATTTTTTTTTCAGGTCAGGGACTTACTGGACTGATTATGATGCCCGTTGAACAATATCGAAAAGACGGAAGAATCCTTAGAGGCATTCAGCGAGGTGCTAGCAACTTTAAAGTTTCGGTGGTTTTGGCCTCTCTGGATTTGTTAGGTCGTTTAGTTGGTTTAATACAGGTATTTCATTTAATAATCATAACAAAATTCGCGGATTAGGGAATAAGCATGTCTTAGTTTTAAACTATTTTGATTTCAACAAGAACATTAACCCCAATAAGCTGCCATATCTGCTTGGAATTACGAATATAATTTTAATGTCTTCAAAATAAACTTTAATTACTTCATAAAACGTACGTCTGGTGTTTTGTGGAGGATAAATGGTACCTTAATACCAATTTTTCAGAGTGGGCGTTCAAGTTATCAAAATAGGAAGTATTCGGTGTTTTCTAGAGATTGTTATTATTATTGTTGATGATCAGGAGGTAGACATTTGAAATATTGTTTATTATTGCTTTCTACTTTTGGGAAAAGTTATTAAAATTCATAGTAAAATGGAGTTGAAAATATAATCTATTTTCAAGTTTGAATATTTTGAAGAAAAAAGGGCTGATTTCTGAGGACAGCACCGATTATTTGATTTAGTGAGAAATATATGCGTCTTCCCTTTTCAATCATGGTTAAGTTATAGCTAGTGAGGATTGAAGCAAATATCTCTAATAATCTTTCATTTCCAACAATAAAATAATGATTTTGTGATCCTTTGCAACTACGAAGTAGAAAAATTAGTTACAAATAGGAGAAACTTAAAAAAATTTAGAAAAAATTGAAATATCATTAATGATATTAATATTTTCAATATTCATCATCAGACACAGGAAATGTCAGATTTTCAAAAGGTCAATTCTCATTTGAGTATTTACAATTAATATAAAAGTAGGTACCAATTTTTTAACAATAGATAAAACTTATGAAACTGAAATATACTAACCAACCATGGATATAATAACGTTATTTCAACATTCCCAAGAAACTTTAGCTATAAATAATACAAAATCAAAATGTGATCGCACAACTTTTATCTTAACCAGCAATTAAATGAATTAAAGCATTTATGTTGTAACAAATTACTGTTGAACTTCTTAAAGGCTGTGGTATTTGAAGTTTCAGTATGCTTTCAGTGAAGTCCTCTCTCGTAAAAACTAGAGCAGTTTGTTATAATGTTTGGTAGTAATGTTCATATTATTGGAATATTGACAACAATCTATAGGAAACCAGATATTTCTTCAAAAAGCAGACAAGGCCTAATGAGTCAAAATATTAGGTTCAGCAGAGGTTTTGCGATTTTAATAATGCACACTCTTAACATTTCAATGAATATTTTTTGAGTGTTTTAGGAACATTATGACTGTTATAATGATCTCCTGAGGACTGTCATAATGATCTCCTGAGGATGCTAACTTGGTTAGCAAAACGTGCATCAAGAGACCGTATTTTTGTTCTGGTGTTGGGAAAGTGTTTTCAATAGAATGATGAACTTGACTAGGCCCAACCCGAATTTCAGAATCTCTTCAGGACGCTGGTAATTAATCAAAAATAAAAGAGATGTTGAAAACGTTATAATACATACAAGTAAATTGAATATATGATATTTAATATCTAATAGATAGATAGATAACATTTCAGATGAAAATTTGACATTAGTGTTCGATAATAATAATAATAATAATCTTATAAGCAACACCCTCGGCCTTTGGTAAATTGCGCCACCACATACCCGAGCAACTGGTGCAAAACCGGACCGGCAGCACGGGCGCACCCGAGAAGGAGAACACTATTCTCCCTCCGGTGCCGGTCGTGGGTCCACAGGGGTAATCACCCGGTGGACCTAACACTTGGTTCCTAGTAATCGAGGAACGGACTCCCACAATCGACCCGCTCGGAAGGGTCAGAGGCAAGGTGGTGGGGCCCATAACGATGATTTGCCTACCGATGACAACCCTGGCAATGACAATGGACGCTTTGAGTGGACGCATGAGCTAAGAGATAGCCTTATGCATTGCTACGAGAGTAGTGAAAGAGGGTACATGGCGAGATTGCATGCTCTGTGGTGTGAAACACATCCGGAGCATGCCGCCTTTTCTGTCCGAAATCTTGGGGATTACGTGTCCTATCTTTGGCGGCAAGGCTATATAGCTCCATCCCAGCATGCTAACGAAGTGGTAGAAGTGACGGTTCTACCACCCGTCGGTACGGCTGGAGAGGAGACTCGGATCATGCCACGAATGGAGCCAATCAGAACACGCAGGGCGCTCCACAAAATTAGGCCCCTGAAGCCACAAGAACTGGCTTGTTTGGATTCGGAGGTTCATAGTGTTCTAACAGAAGAGGCTGACATCTGGCAAATCAACACTGCCATGTATAGCGTCGTCCAATCGCTTTCTGAATCGGAAGAACGAAATCCCGGCCTTGCGGTTCTGAACATTGAACGACGTGTACACAAGATGGAGGCTAAGATCACGTCGGCGAGACAATATGCGTCTCGTATCCAATGTGTGATGGATTACAGGGCGGCCAATAGGCCTTTCACGCCCGCAGTGCGGCGAATAGCCACCAAACTACGACGTATCCATCACACTTTAAGTCAAGGCGTGCTGCTGACCACCAAACAGCATTACCTTGATATAATATGAATGCTATTAGCTGCTAAGAAGTCACCAGTGAGTAGAGCGTGTTGTGGATAATCCACCGACCGCTGATCAGGTGGAATCCTTCTGGAAGGATATCTATGAACACCCGCAGCCACTCAACTTAGACACTACAGCCCTAGCGCAGTTCGAAGCTTTCAACAGAGAGCTTCGACAGCCTGAGCTCAATAAACTGCGCAACCCGATAACTACGGATGACGTGGAAAAAACTAACAAGCACCCACCGCCACCTGGCCATAGTTTTTAACTCATGGCTGGACGGAGAGCAGCCGATTCCGGATTGGTTTGTCGAGGGGCGTACCGTTCTCATCCCCAAAAGCGGAGATTTGTCGATTCCCAAGAAATTAGGAACTCATCGGTCAAGCCTTGTCGCAATTTACAAAGAAAAGTTAATAAATGTTTTTCTGTAATTGTCCTGTTCTGCGCTTGTGCAACTGGAACACAAAAAGTCTGCAAATCTCGGAATTGCTCTTTTGTTAATGAAGTTAGGGTTTTAAAGTCTACATCACTGATTTGGAAATCTCATGTTGATTATTTAGCTAAAAAACTATGCAGGGTAACTTATTTCCTAAAAAACTTGGGCAAAATTGTTAGCAATAAAGTACTATTAAAGGCTTACTATGCTTTATTTCAGTCACTAGTTCTGTATGCATTTCTCTGTTGGGGTCACTCGGCACATACTGAAAGAATTTTTGGCATCCAGAGACGAGCTATTCGATATATGCTCTCTCTTACTTATAGGGAGGATATTAGAGAAAAATTTATAAAATTTGGTATCTNCCTGTATTACCCAACAGTTGAAAACCATTTACAGGGTTAAATAATCAAAATCAAATCACACAAATTTGAAATTGAATTGAAATTATTGCAAATGCTAAAGTTAGGTGACTTGAAATAAAAGTTGATTCTGACCAGTCGACTGTGAAAAGTTTTTGTACTTCTAGTTCTAAAATGAGGCACACGGAAATTTATAAAGAGATAACACCTCCATAGCATCCACATTGTTGTGCACTAATTTATACAGAAAAACTATTTCAGCAAGTTTTCTGCGTAATTCAAGACTTTCAATATTGAATGTTATGGTAAGAGACTCATATGGAATACCTCTATCAGGATAGATACCACAATATTTGAAGTAAATAAACTTTAGGAAACGATGTTGAACTCTTTCAATTATTGTATTATAACAATTGTAGAGTGGATACCATAGAACAGACCTTACGTAGGCTACATAAAGATTAAATAGAACAGATATGTTTGTAAAAGATCTATAATTGCGAACTATAAAGAGTTAAACTCTCAATGCTTCACTTACTTTCGATCTAATGTGGTTGGAAAAAGACAAATTTTGATTAAATTATACACCAAGATCTTTAATCGAGTTACATAATAATTGTAATCGATGACTGACATTTTCCTACTATAAGACACTACTTTACATTTGGATGCATTAAGACATAGTTTGTTACCTTTACACCGAATCTGTATATTTTCTAACTGTGGTTGCAATGTATAACAGTCTTCGATAGTTTCGACAGGTAAATATATTTTGGAGTCATCTGCAAAAAATTACTTATTACAATCAACATAATTACTGAGTTCATTAATAAATAATAAGAATAGAAGTAACCCAAGATTCGACCTCTGAGGTAATCCAGATGAAGGATTGTAATACAAAGAATCGTAGCCATTATAAGATACAACCTGTTCGGGTTGAAGTAAGTAGGATTTAATGAAATGTACTGCTGAATTGATGATGCTCATTGATGTCAAACCTTCAAACACACCTGATGTTGGTAATATGAATCTCAAAATTGACAATGTTGTCAAACCTTCAAGCATATTTGACACCAGAATTGTCATTTTCTAAACTACCTGTAATAAACAAGAGTAATATGAAAAGTAAAACAATTTTCTTTTCATAATTGTTTCACTGATTACTTATACTATGAAATACTATCTTGACAAAATAAGAAGCAATTTCAATAGAAAACTATAAATCTTACATGAATGTTCAATATACGTTTTTTATTCATACGAGGTCCGTTCAAAAAATAAGGTGAATGTTCATTTGATTAGTGATTTTTTATTTTTCATGTGGGGCCATTCATCTCGAACATATGTTCAGCTATTTAGCATGTTTAGTTTGTTGGTGCAAGTTATAACTTTGTTTGTACTCTGAGCCAGAAAATGTTCACAAGTGGAACAAGCTTTTCAAAGAAGGCCGAGAAGATGTGAATGACGACGCTCCAGCAAATCTACAACCAATGAATATGTCGAAAAAGTGAAGTAAATTGTTATGTAGAATCGTGGAATCACTATTAGAGAAGTTGCTGAGGATGTCGGCATATCAGATTTACTTCAGAGGTTCATAACTGTTGACGAATCACGGATATATGGTTATGACATCGAAATCAAAGTTCAATTATACCATTGGAAGAGTCCAGGAGAGCCAAGATTGAAAAAAGTACGCCAAGTTCGATGAAATGTTAAGGTTTTGCT